CCCACACACTACAGCCCTGGTCCCACGGACCAGCTGATGGGCAGCTGGCTGGACCCACAGGCCGCACCCAACACTGACAAGTTATGACTGACGTCTCTCTCTCTCTGTCTAGATGAAGACAGAGGCACAGACAAAACTGACAGCGTTAAGATCAGGACCAAATCTGTTTACAAGTCACCAGATCTGCATGGCTCGGTTTTGTTGTGCAGAGCTCAGCTGACAGTGCGCACACACTCACAGTTTATCTACTTGATGCTTATGTTGGTGTAGTACTCTCCAAAAGGCAGTGCAGTTAATAACTTGTATAATGATGTAAAGATGAGAACAAACTCTTGATAATAAATTAATAAAGTATTTAAATGGGCGCGGTGTGCACAACCCGTGTGGAGAACAGTCGGAGGGTTTATGCAAAGGTGCCAGCTCTGGGTTGGGCTGTGATCATGAGCCTACCTGACATCTGAAAAACCCATCCGGGTCGACCAAAGCAGCCTAAAGGTAAAATAAGAATTTTGTGTTTGCGCCACATATGGCCCAAAACTGTGCGCCACCATCCATTCTCCAGACACACGCTGACAGGTTGTGGGACAAAAAAATAAATAAATTAATTAATTAAATAAAATAAAAAATAATGTGCCCATGGTCCTTTCACAGGTCCGGTCCAAATGGTCACCTATATTCGGCCCAGAGCAGATAACTTTTGCTGTCAGAGTAGACAGCAAAAGTTTGTCATTAATGTTGCTGTTCAAAAGCAGCTGGAGTTTGTTGCTGCGCTGAGATGACAGGTCGCTTTGGAGAAAATGCAGCCAGAAGAGGAAATAGGTCACCCCCCCCCCACCCCCAAAAAAAAATACATAAAATTTGTTGTTAACTATATCACTTAAATCGTTTGCTTTACTCACCATCTCTTGCGTGAAAAGCAAAAGTTTCTAACCTGCTGTTCCAAAGTGGAGAAAAATGAATTCAATTCAATTCAATTCAAAAATACTTTATTGATCCCAGAGGGAAATTAGGTGTTGTTGTAACTCATTTAACAAAAAACTTATTGTAGATGCTGATGGCTGTGGGCAGGAAAGATCTTCTGTAGCGGTCTGTATTACAGCGAAGTTGAAGAAGTCTCCGACTGAAGACACTTTGTCTTTCTATGACAGTCTGATGAAGAGGATGGTCAGGGTTGTCCACAATGTTCTTGATTTTATGTAAAATCCTTCTTTGCACCATCATCTCCAGAGATTCCACAGTCGTCCCCAGAACAGAACCAGCCTTCTTTATTAGGTTGTTTAGCCTTTTTAGGTCCCTGGCTCTGATGCYGCTRCCCCAACTGATGATGGCAGAAGAGATGACACTCTCAACAACAGACTTCTAGAAGATCTGCAGCATCTTGCTGCAGACATTGAAGGTTCTCCTTCCTTAAGAAGTACAGTCTGCTCTGTCCTTTCTTGTAGACTGCTTCACTGTTGAGTCTCCAGTCCAGTCTGTTGTCCAGATGAACACCAAGGTATTTATATTCCTCAACCACCTCCACTTCTTCTCCCATGATGGAAACAGGGTTTGATCTAGCACTATTTCTCCTGAAATCTACWATCATCTCCTTTGTTTTGTTCACATTCAAGATGAGATGATTGTTCCCACCTCATGTCACAAAGCGGTCCACCAGCTCTCTGTACTCAGCTTCCTGTCCATCTCTGATACACCCAACAACTGCAGAGTCATCTGAGTATTTCTGTAGATGACAGCAGTCTGACTTGTGCTGGAAGTCTGAAGAGTACAATGTGAAAAGGAATGGTGAGAGTACAGTTCCCTGTGGTGCTCCTGTGCTGCTGACCACCTGGTTAGACACACACCCTAACCGTCCTTCAGTCTCACAAACTGTGGTCTGAATGAATAGATTCAGGCAGCTGCTGCAGTATATTTGGAACAATTTGTCTTTGAAAACCAGGGATGGATTGAGAACACCACCTAGAGACAAAAATGAAAACTGTACCTTCATATGATGCAAAATCCTGCCTCATTATGCTACACTATATCCTAAAATATGCAATGACCTGAAGGAAGAAAAATTAGATCTATATCCTTGTTTGAATTAGCCCCATCAAGATCAATTAAATGCAATATCAAACAAATAAGACGTTAATGACAATTTAGAGCACTGTTTCAAAAGGGGGAAAAATCATCATCCAAGAATAAAATGCTTTTATTCCCAAATATTTTTATCTTTATGTGCCACTCCTCATTTGCTCCAGTGAATATTTTCTTTAATGTTCCAACTGATTAATGATGGGTGATTCTTCCCAGGAAGCGCCTGCAGCTTTTTTGTAGTGTACTGATTCAAGTAATATTTTTTTTCAATAGCTGATCAGCACTTAGTGGTTTTTAAGAGTCTTATCATGTTGATAATCAGGACTTTTTAGACATTTTAAGGTTGAGTCACGAGTTTACCACAGCGGTTCAAAATGCTGCAGGGTCAGAGCTTCTTTATAAGAACTAGAGACATCCTCACACTTACAAGCAGATTTAAAGTGACAACACACAAATGCTGCAAATATCAACTAAAAGACACAAAACAACTGAGAAGTGCACAGAGGCTTGCAAATATTGAAAAGAAAATTGATGCAAAGCAGAAATGAACACAAATAAGATATACATAAAGCAAAATGATGCAAAATAGGTCTTAAAACATAAACTTAGAACTCTGAAGAGATTTTTAAAAACTGCAAAACTTGGAGGTGGCTGAATCTCCCGTCAGACAGAGCCTCAACTCACACCTCCGGGAGAATTCTGAACACGTTCCGGGGAAGGTGGGGGACATTGAGTCCGAGTGGACCATGTTCCATACCTCCACTGTCGAAGCGGCTTACCTGAGCTGTGGCTGTAAGGTTGTCAGTGCCCGTTGTGGCGGAATCCTCAAACTCGCTGGTGGACACTGGCGGTGAGGGATGCTCTCAGGCTGAAGAAGGAGTCTTATTGGGTCTTTTTGGCCTGTGGGACTCTAGAAGCAGCTGATAGGTATCGGCAGTCCAAGTGGATTGTGGCTCGGGTGGTCGCTGAGGCAAAAACTTGGGCTTGGTAGGAGTTCCATGGAAAAAGACTTCTGTATAGCTTTGAGGCGATTCTGGTCCACCATCCGGCATCTCAGGGGAAAGCAGTTTGCCGCCAACACTATCTATTGTGGGGATGGTGCGCTGCTGACCTCAACTCAGGACATTGTGGGTCAGTGCGCAGAATACTTTGAAGAACTCCTCAATCAAGTCTTCCCATGAGGAAGCAGAGCCTGAGGACCCTGGGTCAGACTCTCCAATCTCTGGTGCAGAGGTCACTGAGGTGGTTAAAAAGCTCCTCGGTGGCAGGGCACCGGGGGTGGATGAGATTCTCCTGGAGTTTGTTAAGGCTCTGGATGTTGTCGGGTTGTGTTGGCTGACGCGACTCTACAATATCGCGTGGACATCGGGGACAGTTCCCCTGGATTGGCAGACCGGGGTGGTGGTCCCCCTATTTAAAAAGGGGGACTGCAGAGTGTGTTCCAACTATAGGTGGATCACACTTCTGAGCCTCCCTGGTAAGGTCTATTCAGGGGTCCTGGAGAGGAGGGTCTGTCGGATAGTCGAATCTCAGATTCAGGAAGAGCAGTGTTGCTTTTGTCCTGGTCGTGGAACAGCGGACCAGCTCTACACCCTCAGCAGGGTCCTGGAGGGTGCATGGGAGTTCACCCAACCAGTCTACATGTGTTTTGTGGACCTGGAGAAGGCATTCGACAGTGTCCCTCTGGGACTCCTGTGGGGGGTAATCCGGGAGTATGGGGAACCAGGCCCGTTGATATTGGCTGTTAGGTCCCTGTACGACCAGTGCCAGAGCTTGGTCCGCATTGCCGGAAGTAAGTCAGACTCATTTCCGGTGAGAGTTGAACTCTGCCAAGGTTGTCCTTTGTCACCGATTCAGTTCATAACTTTTATGGACAGAGTTTTAAGGTGCAGCCAAGGTGTTGAGGGGATCCTTTTTGGTGACATTAGGATCACGTCTGTTTTTTGTGGATGATGTGTTCCTATTGGCTTCATCAGATCGTGTTCTTCAGCTCTCACTGGAGCGGTTCGCAGCTGAGTGTGAAGTGGCCGGGATGAGGATCAGTGCCTCCAAATCCGAGACCATGGTCTTGAGCCGGAAACTGGTAAGGTGCCTTCGTTGTGAAGCGGGAGCTGAGGCAGAAGGCAAAGCTCTCTGTTCACCTTGTCGGTCTACGTTCCTACCCTCATCTATGGTCACGAGCTTTGGGTAGTGACCAAAAGAATGAGATTGCGGATACAAGCGGCCGAAATGAGTTTCCTTTGCAGGGTGTCTGGGCTGTCTCTTAGAGATAGGGTGAGAAGCTCAGTCATCCGGGAGGGACTCAGAGTAGAGCCGCTGCTCCTCCACGTCGAGAGGAGCCAGTTGAGGTGGCTCGGGCATCTGGTTGGGATGCCTCCTGGACACCTCCCTGTTGAGGTGTTCCAGGCACATCCCACTGGGAGGAGGCCCAGAGGAAGACCCAGGACACGCTGGAGGGACTATGTTTCTTGGCTGGCCTGGAAACGCCTTGGGATTTTCCCTGGATGAGCTGGCCCCAGTGGCTGGGGAGAGGGAAGTCTGGGTCTCTCTGCTTAAGCTTCTGCCCCCGTGACCCGATCTCAGATAAGCGGAAGAAAATGGATGGACCGAAGTGAAATACAGTACATTCATGAAACAAATTAATGCACAAATAACACTGCAGATATGCACACAAACTTAAACGAGACAAAAGATAAACAAAAACTCAAAATTCCAGCACAGCAACAAAAAGCAGAGAAAAATAAATCCTACCACATATTAAAATACTGTTAATGAAAACATTTGAAAAAGAATCACACAAAAATATTTCATAATTGTTTCTTTATTGCTTAGATTCATTTTTAATAATTTTCTAACAAACAAGGTCTCTGCTTTCATTTTCATTTTTCTTAAAACATTCAGTTTCCATCTTACCATATGAACCAACAACACTTTTTCAGTGATTTTTTTCTCAACTCTTTACTTATGTTTTGATTACAGATTATATCTAAACCTCTTATGTTAGACAGCATTTACATTCTTTACATTCTTTAACTGTCTGCTATACTTTTAAATATCAAACTGAGACTATCACTCATATTTTAAAATACTACAAATAAAAAATAACATGAATCCAGCTGTAAATTTTGTAAAAACATGAAAAGACAAGTTATTTATAGATCTAAACCAGCTAATTTTTATGTTAATAGTTTTAACAGAAAAGTCTAACTTTTAAAAACCTAAAATCAATAAATATCAAATTACAGCAAAAATTCTTTTAAGAAAACTTCATTGTTGCTTTATTGCGAGGAGAAATCATTTAATAACACATAAAAATGATTCTAAAAGTTTCCATCAGTCATTTTTTTCATGTGGGTTATTTTTAGTTTGGTCTCATGATTTGGAAATACAATGCTATAAAAATTTATAGTAATTCTGATTATATTTTTATGGGTTTAAGTGTTTTACAAATTATTACTGTCTGTTCTTTCAAGAAAAATCTCTAATCATTTTGCATAAAAGAGATATCATGCATCATTGTTCCATTTATTCATCGAACACACACCAACATTACAGCTACATAGATTTTGAAGAAAAACAAGGAGTGGCATTTTTCATTTACTGAAGAAAATCTTAAAATGATTCATTACAGTAAGCACAAAAGCTTTGAAGCTGTGAAAAATGTTCAATGAAGCTTTCATATACAACTGATTAACACTGATATTTTTATGATTACATAATGTTTTTATATTAAAAATATGACCTTAAGCTTTTTATGAGAACATTTAGTTTTGTGTCATAATTAGAAAAATCTCAAAGGTGTGACTACTCAAAATTAAAGTGCAAAAGAGTCAACAAGCTACAGTAAATGACAGTGAGAATACAATAAACACAAAAATAAAAATACATTAAAAATACAATAAAAACACATGCGGGTTTCTAGACATTTCTGGTGACCAAAAAATAGCATGTTCAATATGTTGCTGTAAATTCAGGTAAATGCTTCAGGTTGGACCTGCGAGGCAGATTTACCCATTTCAGAGTGTTTTTAAAGCATTCAGAAATCATTTTTTCTGAATGCATCAAGAAATCTAAACCAGTCTTATGCTTGAGTTCCCACTGCCTCCTGGTGCATCAACAAGAACCTCCTCGTCTTCTTCCTCCCCTTCAAAGATGGCGGTCATTGGGGCAGAGATGAGGCTGCAGCGAGCCGCAAAGCGATGGGAGGCGGAGCAGGGCGGTGTGAGGGAGCGAGGTCGAACATGGGAGGAGGTGAAGACAAAAAAGGGATACAAAGAGTTGGAGGTCAGGAAGAGGTGATTGTGCATCAAATCCCGTCTTCTCCAATCAAACATCATGGACAGAGAACAGGGAGATGTGGGAAGTTCTGGGACGTCTATACTCAGGTGAACAGGTCTACTGGTGTGCTCCGCTTCACAAGAGGGGTTTCCAGGTTTTAACTGGTTTGGAGTTGGAAGAGGAGGTGATGTCTGGATGTTGGCAGCAGGAGGTGGAGGCTGAATAACTCGAAGACGCTCAACTGCAGATATTCGAGAAGATGGATCGACTCGACTTCCCTTTCTCAAGAGGAGTGCCTTAAAGCGCTCACTTCTTGCTGACCTGTGACTTATGAAAGGTGCGGGTCGGGTCAGGTGGGATGAGTGGTCAGTGGGTGTCTCAGGAGGGGAGGAGGAGGAAGAGACACTAAGCTTCTCTTCATCTAAATCCCTTCTTCCAAGCATCTTCCGTTTTGATCTGAAAAAATTTAGACAAAAAGAACAGTTAGAAAGTGGGATTAACAAACATTTTTTATAATTGTTAGTTTTTGTCAAATTTGATTGTCATGTTTGGTTTTACAGAAAAAACATTAAATAAAACTAATTAAATTAAAATACTCAAGCTTTGGTTCTAGAAAACAATGTTCTGCCTTAAAGAATAGATGCTGGAAAACAAGTCTTGGGAACCACCAATTTTATGTCCTGGGCTGGGACGGGCACAGAATGACATCAGGTGGTGCTAGAGTACCTGCCCTTTTCCCTCCGATTCATCAAGGACCTCCATCAAACTTTTTTTTACATGCATCTGTGGCCCATGATTTCACTTCTGCATGAAAAAGCGTACATAATACTACCAATGCCCCAAAAAAATGCAAAGTAATTTTGCACTTAAGCCCTCCCTTCCCAGAACATAACATTCAATCTGAACACAATGCCCATTCGGAAAAGAAGGCACTGTTGGAACAGCTCCTTTCCTGCACAACAAAACAGCAGCTAACATACCCCCTAAACCTCAGATGCTAAAGTTTTAAACTTCACTTGCATCAACTTTGTCTCAACTGTGAAGATGACCTTCACCATCATAAACAGCCAGATATTAAGTTAGCTCATTTACCAACTGCAGCATAACTTGAATCTCTGTAGTGCGATTAACATTTCCTGAAACTTTTGTGTGAGAGGGGAATAATACATGGACCAGTTAGGTCCATAAATATTTGTACAGAGACAACATTTTTTAATTTTGGTTTTAGACATTACCACAATGAATTTTAAACAAAACAATTCAGATGCAGTTGAAGTTCAGACTCTCAGCTTTAATTCAGTGGGTTGAACAAAATGATTGCATAAAAATGTGACAAACTAAAGCATCTTTTAAACACAATTCCTTAATTTCAGAGGCTCAAAAGTAATTGGACAGGTTAAGTAATTGTAAATAAAATGTTCATTCCTAGTACTTGGTTGAAAACCCTTTGTTGACAATGACTGTCTGAAGTCTTGAACTCATGGACATCACCAGACGCTGTGTTTCTGTAACAGGGTTGTTCTTGTTTATTGAATTTTGTCAAAATACAGTTATTTTTTATATATTTTACTTGTTTTGCACCAAATATTTGCAAGAAGTTATCAAATGTGTTCTTATTGCCTGGGAAAACTGTTTTGATCCAATCTTACATGTATTCAGGGCTCTTTTTGTTCATGTGGTTTTGTCGCCCCTAGTGGCGGGTGGTGGTAAATATATGTGCAGGACGTCAGCAGCCCGTCCCTTTTGCTGCCTGATGTTCTGTGAGAAGGGGCAGGAGCTACAGTCAGACCATGGCCAACCACATTTATGTTTTCTGTGACAGCTGGTGTCAATAAATGGTGTGAAGCGAGAAATCCTTTCCTGAGTGTGTGGTTCTTCAGTTCGCTGGTGACAAGCCAAAAGTCGGGGGTTACATATCCTCCTTTTTAACGCTCTGCCATGCCTTCACTGCAGCGGTTTTCAGTTGCTGTTTGTTTGTGGGCCTGTCTGTCTGAAGTTTAGTCTTTAACAAGTGAAATGCTCAATTGGGTTGAGATCAGGTGGCTGACTTGGCCATTCATGAATGTTCCACTTCTTTGCTTTAATAAACTTCTGGGTTGCTTTGGCTTTATGTTTTGGGTCATTGACCATCTGTAGTATGAAATGACGACCAATCAGTTTGGCTGCAGTTATCCTCCCACACATAGGTGGAAGGAGGCTACACTCTCATTCACAACCCCATACACCAGCTCAGGCTCCTTCCCCACCAGAGAGGTGACATTCCACGTTCCTAGAGCCAGGTTCTGTAGCCGATTATCAGACCTCCAAGGTTCTAGCCTTTAACCACTGCCCATCACACACACACTGCACCTGACCCCTTCAGCCCCTCCCACAGGTGGTGAGCCCATGGGAAGGGCATCCATGTCTCCTCTTTGGGCTGTGCCTGGCCAGGCTCCATGGGTGAAAACCCAGCCACCAGGTGCTATATGCCCCAGTTCCAGGTCTGGCTCCAGAGTGGGGCTCTGCGGTGACCCACGTCCAGGCAAAGGAACACTGAATTCATTGTTGACCTTTATCGTAAAGGATCTTTTGGGCTGCACTTTGTCCGATCCTTCACCTGTTTGCCTTGGGTGACCCTACTGGGGGCATAAAGCCCCCGACAACATAGCTCCTAGGATCATTGGGACACTCACACCTCTCCACCACAATAAGGTAGCCTATAGCAGATACTTGATTTTCCTAAAAGTAGATCGCCACACAAGGTTCTACTGGTACATTTAGATGTTTAACTGGTTGATATATGGTCTAAAACTAAATAAAATCAGCACACTGCACAAGAAACTAATCAACAATTACTGTGTCAGAGCTCAGTCCGATAATGGCTGCCACCTTACCTACCAAAATACCTTTTATAACTCCTCTGGAAATTGGTAAAAGCCAGGTAAATTAGTGAAACTAAGTTAAGTTGATAAAGGTAAAGCCACAGAAAATAATTAAAATAATGAAAGGTGGCAATAAAAATAAAGGTAACTTGGTTACAAAGCAAAGGAGAATGTTTTTAGGTAAATAAGCTTCTTATTCAAACAGCAAGGACAGAGGCAGGATCAGTTTCTCTCTATAGAAGGATGAAAACAAGTAGGTGTAATACATTTTTAGGGATCACTATCTACAAAATTACAGACCAGTGAAATGCTTTACCTGAAGTCAACCCCTGATTACCAAGGTACTCATGCTGTGCCTTCCCATACTGTACTGCTCCAGAGGCAGATGGAGGGATCAAGCAGAAATGTGAGGATGTGTTTGTTGAGTGTTAAACTATCAGCATTCAGCTTGGGTTTAAGTGTTTCTACCTGTGGATGATCGCAAAAAGATCCTCTGTGGTTCGAGGATGACCAGAGGCAAACATTTGATCCGCTGAAATGCTGACGAACACATCATCTGGAAAACAGATATTTTTAATTAATTATTTGGTACAGTTTGAACTTGGAAAAAAACGTGTATTAACCAGAATATTTGCTTACCAACATATAGAGAAATACTTATGCAGTCTGCAAATTTTTACCCCCTTTGATACATCTCATGAGAGAATGTGACCTACTTAGATCCACACCTACATCAGCAAAATATGTTTTATTATCTTTTTAGAAGAGCTGAGTTTAATCCTTAGGAAATATATGGATCTTAGGTTGAAGAAAGTTTCTTCTAATTATTGTCTAATAGTTGTGGGACGGCTGTGAATGAGCAGTTGGGGAGTTGTCCTGTAACTGGTTGGTCACTGGTTTTACACCCCATTCCAGCCATCTCAGTCGTTGTGTCCTTGGGCAAGACACTTCACCCTCCTTGCCTACTGGTGGTGGTCAGATGGGCTGGTGGCACAGTATGGCAGCCCCTCCTCTGTCAATGTGACCCAGGGCAGCTGTGGCTACATTGTTTACCACCATCAGTTTGCTAAACAAATGTAATAATTTTCAATAGTAAATTAAAGTAAGAAAAATAAAACATTCTAAAAGCTGATGTTTCTTTACGTTTTGTAGCACTGTTTGTGGGTTTGCAAGGGGGTCCCTGGCCAGAAGCTAATGTTGCTTGAGGGACTATGGCAAAGAAATGTTTGGGAACCCTTGGTTTAAATAGCTACATCTATAACGGAATGATCTATTGTGATGGTTCACTCACAAAAATGCTATGTGGACTAGCCTTCAAGGTTCATCAAAGAGTACCATGTAACCCAGGCCAGTAAGTGATCTAGAACTGCATCACATTATCACTAATCCTGACACTATATGAACCTAACTTACCATTTGAGGGCCTGTTGGTTTCCTTGAGCTCCTTAACTCTTCTCGAGGCTTCACTCTTTCCTTGCTCCTCCTCTTCTTCATCAGGTTCCTTTATAAGAAGGTCTGGCAGGGACAGCTCCCCTTGCAGGTTTTCCGTGGACAGCACACTGCTGAGAGAGAACCTGCTCTCACCAATCAGAGAACAGCAACCTTCAGAGTCACTTGTCTCTTGATCACACACTTTCATTGTTCTCAGCCTCTCCAGTCTATATATTTTTACATCTTGTTCATTTTCAGACGAGGATGAAGATGATGATGTAGATGAAGACATTGAGGAAGAAGGTTCCATTTTCGGTGGTATCATCAATAGTTGCTTACCCAATCTCTTGTGCCGCTTTTTAGCTTTGTCTTTTTTGCTAGGTGAAGTTTTCATCATAACTGTTGTCCGTTTAACTCGTTTTTTCACCCTCTCCTGCTCTTCTTCCTCTTCATCCAAAGAGGAACTCATCGTCCTCATATGATATGTATTTTTCTCATCTTGAAGTTTTGACTCAATAATCCCAAAATAATTATGGTCTGGCGCCACAGCCTGGGTTCCTTCAGCACTGGTTGAAGTAGTTTCAGGGACTTGTGAAGGATCAACCCCTACTGTTCCTGACTGGTCATGAGCTCCACAGATCTTCAAATTCTGTGGGGTACTGCAGGTCTCCTCAGGATTTCTTTTATTTGTGTTGCACACTGTTTCTAAGGTGCTACTGGTCCTTACAGTGTTTTGAGTTTGTAAAATACTAGTGGTCCCTGTGGTCCCATTCAGACCTGATGCTGTGGTTTTAGAAGCAAAGGGTGTTTTGTGTGAAGTCAATGAGAGATCTGGCTTCTTTTGCAAAATTTGGGGCTTCTGATGTTGAGGGGAACTGGCAAGTGAGTGGATGCTGTTAAATGAACGTTCAGGTAGTGCCGAAAGGACACAAGTGCTTGTCAACTGCTTTGGCAATTGTTTACTTTTGGTCAAATGTGTGAGGAAACGTGTGTCCAAGGAATCAATGGAAAGCTGTGATTGGTTGTTAAGCCCAGTAGAACTCTCAGGACTCTTTGATCTACCTGGTTCTCTTTTGGCCTTGGGACCCAAAACACAAAGATCAGACTTTTTTGGAGGAACTGGTTTCTCTGGGGAGTTTAACCTCCCTGAGCTCCTTGATTTTAAGTCTTTGTTATTATGCTGCACAACAATTGTTGAAACTCTATCAACTACACATGGACTCTGTATTTGTGATTTATTCTTTTCATCTTTCTCACTTTCTTTTTTGCTCTCTGAGAGTCTTGCCTTGTTTTCCTTCAGTCTCTCTGTGGTCTTAAATGGTTTAGGGGGTTGTTCAGAAGAAAAAGTCTGAAAATTGGTGTTAATTTGATATTTGTCAGCATCGTGACCCAATTTTGCCCAAGGACTCTCAGGACTGGAGACTTGAACATTTTCCAGAGTGAGATACATGTCCGAATCCTCCCTTTGTTGTCCATTAAACTGGGTGGTTTGTGGCATTTCTTTATTAAGCTGAGTACCATGCTCTTTCTGGTTAGCTGAGCTGCCATGTAGTCTTTGAAGATTGGAATCACCTGACTCATTTGCATTCTCACTCTCACTTTCTCTTTTGTCATAGTAATCGAGTTCCTGCTGTTTTACTTCATTGCTGACTGGACTTTGAAAGTTAACCAGTAACGCACTTTCTTCTCTGCCAGCCACCGTATCGATATGTTCTTCTCCTGGTCCTGATAGCTCAGAATCAGTGTTTAGGCAATCAACAATAACTTCACCTAACACTGTGCAATTCAGTTGGCCATCCTCACTTTGGTTAGAGTCTTTTCCTGAAATGCTAACTTGGGTATGAAGTTTAGCTTCAGTGGGGTTACCGTTGGATTGTGGGATTTTCTGGTTCTTAACAGAACGAAGCTTGATGCACTGCAAAGCCTGATCAGTGATCAGTAGACAGGGAGACCTTGGGGACATGTTAGGACTTGATGAGGAGAAGAAAGATGTGGAAGGTTTTGAGGGAAAAGGCAGAGGTGGAGGACTAGGTGGCAGAGGGGGTGGAGGAGGAAGGTCAGGTTTGTCTGTGAAATCAGAAGATGAGGAAGGTGGAAGGGAAGTTACAAGTGGATATAAAGCAGACGGCACTGTGGAATCCAGTGTGTGGTGGGATCTCCGGCTCACAGCATAGGAATAGGGAGGAGGAGGAGGCCGGACAGAAGGAGGTAAAATAGGTGGCATGGGGAGAGATGACGTTGGGAGAGGTGACAAAAGTGGAGGAGGAGGGCCAGGAAGTTTGTTAAAAGACAGCACAGCAGGAAGGCCGATCTTTGGAAGGGGAGGAGCAGGAGGAGGTGTAGGAAGAAAAGAAGAGGGAAGCTCTGGAAGAGGAGGTGGGGAGAGAGGGGGATGAGGATTAGAGATGACTGATAAAGGGGTAAAAAGGCATAGCCCAGAAGCAGGAGTAGTAAACTGTGGCAGGGAAGGTGAAGGAGGAGAACTATTAGGGGTAGACAAGCAAAACTCAGATAGGGGAGGTGAAGATTGTGGAAGAGGTAGGGAAGGTGGAGGCGGATTAGGAGGATGCCTGGGTAAAGAGTCAGAGGAAGTGGGGTAGGACAGGGAGGACAAGGAAGAGAAGGAGGAGATGAGTGATGACTTCCTCTGGGGAACTGGTGGTTTTGGCCTACTTCCACCATGAGACCTAGTCCTGGGAAGGGAGAATGCTGCAGGGGACAAGAGTAAAGAGGAAGAACATGAAGTCAACAGTGGGGAGGTTGAAGGAAGTAAGAAGGCTCCAGAACTCGTGAAGGGGGAGGAAGGGTTGAGGGGTGAAGACACTGGAGTACCAGGAGTTGGGGTGTTGGACTGACTGGAGTAACCACTGGATGGTGAAGCAAGGCGCTGGAGCCCAGTTGCAGAGGAGTCAGGTGTGGGCTGGTCCAGTGGAAGTTCCAGCTCTTCATCTTTTGAACTTGGAGCTTCAGAGTCAAGCACGTGGCACTCAGGACTCAGTGGGTTGTTGGAAGGCAGTGATTCAGTACAGGTTTTTGTTTGGGAGTTTAGGCTCAAAGATTCGAAGGTTGTTACTGTTCCACAGTTCAAACCACTCTGCCATCTTCTGATGTTGCTTCGGGGCACCCAGGGGTCATAAAAGGCCTGGGGAGGTGAGGTGGATGTATACAAGGTGTTGCGATCCACATGACTGCGATCAAGCCAAGGACTTGTTGAAGAGCAGGAGGCTTTGTTGCAACCTGTACGGCGCTTCAAAGAGTCAGAACGCATTGGTGGAGGAGGTGGGTTCTTGGACTTTCGTAGAGAGATGCTTCGGTTTATGGTACCGTAGTAGAATGAGGAAGTACTGGACTTCCTTTTCTCATGTTTAAGCAATGGAGATTTTATTTTCTCTGAATAAATTGAGTTGTTATCAGCACAGGAGGGAGTGGAGCGACCAGAGGACAGCAGGGGGTCACAGTTCCAACTTTCCTCTGAGCCGCCTCCTGTGTTCTGGGTGATACCACTGTAGATACTGGAGTTGGGGGAAAGAGGCCTGTAGCTCCAACTCTCCTCATTGATGGAGTCACAATCACAAAAACTCTGAGCATTCTGCCCTGAGGCCGTTTGGTCATCCAGAGCTTGGTAACTAAACTGAGACACAGAATCTGCTATGGAGGAGGAGGAGAGATAATGAGAGGAAAAGGAAGTTTCATTATAAGGACTATTGTTGGGAGACCATTCAGGCTGGAATTGACTTGGCATGTTGGGGATGGAGGAATTGACAGGGGAAGAAGGACAAAAAGCAGAGGAGGAGGAAGGAGACTGGGGTACCACTCTGGTCCTGGTGTCAAAGGGTAGTGAGGGCAGAAAGTTGTTTGGAAAATCCTGTAAATCCTGTAACTGGAGGGGAAACCAGAAGGGGAAAAAAAGAGATATACAAAATTTTACTGTTTGTTTCAGGCAATTAAACAAAACAATATTTTTTTCAGAACTGACCTGGCTATTAGACGAGGAGGCGCTGACACTGCTGACCTCAGAACTTGGAGAAAAGTTGGTGGCTAAATGAGGGAGACTGTGGATGTCCGAGGAGGATGAGTGGCAGGAGATGGGGTGCTTGTTGACATGTGGAGAGGTGGTAAGGGAGGCCATGAGGCTGGACATGCCCTCTCCTTTGGGTGCTCGAATCCTCCTTGTGAACAAAAGGCCCTCCTTTTTGATTTTTTCAATTTCCTCATCATCCACCTTTGAGTTCATCTGTTGATCTGAAGAGGTGCAGCAGGATGAGGCAGGTCGACCCACTGTGGAGAACTGACCAGGAAGTTCTACAGAGACCAAGGGCTTTGGGATAACAGCATCTTCTATCACAGAAACTGTCTTACGGCGGCTCAGTTGATGAGGTCGTCGGGTTAATGAGTCTGTGTTAGAGAGAGCTCTCCGAAAACTGGCCTGTCGATCAAAACTTTCCCCTTAAATGAGAACAAATATATAGAACATAAAAAAGCAAGTCCTTACACAAATCTTAAATCCATTAAAAAAGGCATTAAACTGAGATTTATCTTGTATTAGAATTAGGGCTGCCACGATTAGTCGACGACTAATCGATTATTAAAATAATCGATGACTAATTTAATAATCGATTAATCGTTTTTTTGTTCTTTACTTTGGTTTTTCTCTCCAAACTGCTTTGACACCTTCCACTGCCACATCTGCCTTTCTGTCCTTGACACACATGTACAGTAGTGGTAACTGGGGTAGGCCGTGAACATCACAAGACATTATACAGATAGGCTCTGGTATCATGGCTACCTGACAATGGAGCTCAAAAGTGTGGGATCATTTTAAGAAAATGAAAGAGAAACTTGTGCAATACAATATCTGCAAGGCAGAACTTGCCTTCCACAGCAAATATTTTAGTTAGCTTATAGCTAAAATCTAACCATGGTTATCATAGCAGTGGCATTCTGGCGCGATAAGCTGTATGTTTTATATTCAATTAATGTATGATCCGATTAGTCGACTTAAATCGAAAAAATAATCGGTGATTAATCGATGATAAAAAATAATCATTTGTGGCAGCCCTAATTGGTATTAGGGTTTCAAATGTTGATTAAATCCTTGTCTGATTCAAGGTCCTGGTCTAAACTTCAAATTTCATGACAAGCTTTGAGGTTAACACAAATACAAATATATATTTTGATTCTAAGCAAACTTAGGAATATGCCAAAGCAAACAAATACAATGGGCAGCATGCAAGAACACGTTTGTATTCTTATCCTGAATTTCTCTTACTTTTGTTCATACGAACATCTCACGTCAGATTCAGGAAAAGTGTGTGAATGAGGAGCGTAAACTAATGAATGTGTATCCAGGTGCTCGTGCACCAGGAGAGAAGATTAGCATAATTACCACCCCAAAAGCACCATATAAAGGCTGTTTCCTGCCCCACATACCAGGAAGTGTTCATTCATAAATGACATCGCAATGTAAAAAAGAGGAACTTTGCGAGTTAGGAGACTAAAGTTCTGCTCTCAGAGATCCAGAAAAAAATGTCATTTTTAGCAGCATCAGCTGGGGAATTAAAGGATCAGCTTTAAAGCCGAGGAATGAAATGACGACTGCTGTTAATTTCGTGTCTCTCGTGGGTCGTACAGTCACAGAAATAAAAATCTAAATCATATTTATCTCTCTCTATAGTCCTGCTCCGGTTTTTCTTTGGTCAAATATTTTTAATTTAAGTTTAAACAACTGTGTTACATAGGTTTCATTTATTCAGAAGAGCAGTCGCGCACTGCTACCCCCCCCCCCCCCAATCCCCGGTCGTCTCTACCCTCCCGACCGTCACAAGTGTCAGATGTGTTTCTGTAAAAAAAAAAACATTTTAAAATGTCTCCAAACTTCAGTTTACTTCATATTAATATTGTAGTGCTATGCAACAAAATTGCCAATTTATTTTAATTTAACCAATTTATGTCATTAGTCTATTACATTTAAAATTCTAATTCTAATTCAAACATAATAGCCTCTTGTCAACATAATTATGGAGTGTGATTCATCTCGAAATATCTTCTAACTAGTGAAATATAAAGTTATTAGTGAAGTAAATCTGTCTGGATAACAGCAGACTGACTGCTCATAAAATATACGACAGGTCTGGACCACTCGTGGATTTTTTTCATATCTGAAGAAAATCTTAGAATACGAAAAAATTGGTGAATGCCACAAATTCTCCTAAATCACTCGTACGCACAACTTAAGAATAAATATGTGCGTACGAACGGTTCTTGCATGAGGTTCAAGGTTCCATGTTTTTTGTGTGTTCAGCTGAAGTCCAAAATCTGGTAATGGCAATGTAAAAGAAATAAATTTGACTATTTTAAAACTGATGGAGGCTTAAGGAAACAACTATTACGTTTGTGAATAGCAGTGGTTATGTATGTCAAATCAGAATTAGTAAACAAGTCAGAGACTGTGTTTGGTTCAAAAACATCCAATATCACTGTATTTGCAAGACTAATTAGCATGTTGGTGCTGACAACCCCCTAAACTAATAATAAAAAATAACTTTGCTTTACTGTCAACTGTGGAAAATTATTTAGTTGGCTTCAGGAAAAAGCATTGATTATGTTAAGAAATTAAGTCTTGGTTAAGTTAAGAAAACATGCCTATTTGGTAATTTTTTGTCAAATCATTTTGGTACCATTGCCTATTTTAAAATGTGTTGACTCCTCTTTTTTAAAATTGGGCATCTTGTACACACCATTTATTTTTTCCCCATACCATATAAGCTGACTGAGAAGTTTATCACAATTTAGTTTTTTTTTTGAATTTATCAGCAAACTTAAAATTCAGTTATTATTTTGTTTGTTTGTTTTTTAACCACAATCACATTTTAGGATAATATGTGCCTAAATTATGTCACAAGTTTTGTACCATGTTAATATAGTTTTACCTCAAACCTCTTATGAAGACACAGAGTACTAATGTGACAAAGGCAGTTTGGTCTTTTAAGTCTTTGCTAATTCTCCTTGGATTCATATCAGTTCAATCAAGTTCAATCTAAACCCTTAAGTTCAAAAGTATAATCTTTGAGTCCAGTTGTACCTGTTACATTAATAGGAACTATATCAGCTGTGACTGCATCTGCCTGCTGCCTCATCTTCTCCTCTGGTGTTGGAAGTCGATGAAAAGGATCCATTTCCGCATCAAAAGAAGAGTTGTTGGGTGATGCTAGCTCATCCCAGCCGGAGGTGAGACCAACCTGGTTCAGGACCAGCGGAGTCATGGGTCGTGGGTTGTTGAGGAAAAACCTCTCATCCTCATCTGAGGATCCTGAAGCCTGAGAAAACAATACGCTTTAAATTACATTTTAGTTTAGGTAGAAGCAGCTTAAATTCAACTGTTTGGCAATCTAATGGATACTAGATTAAACTCCAGTTTACTCTCAGTTAAATCTGATTAGGAAGGATCTGCAAACTATTTCAGCATTGTTAGTCTAACCTACTGCAGGTTTACCTTTCTCCTCCAAAGTGAAAACTTGAAACAAACTGAAAAGCAAGACTGAGAAAAAAAATCCAAGACTCTGGACCTCTAAAGAGAGGAGAAGTGGGAGGAAAAGATAAAAAAGCATAAGAAAGTAAAAATGAGAAAGATTACAGTAAAGTTTTATAAGCAGCTTAACAGTAGAGGAACAGTGTCAGGACATCCGTTTGACCAGCAGGTGGAAGTAAAGGTTAGTGAGTCCCCACAGTTTGAATAAAGCAGAAAGTAAATCAAAACTGGGCATGCCCAAACAAATGGAACTATAAGATAATACTCTTTGGGCCATCCAAACCCGAGTTTCAAAAGAATATTTTATGATAAAAGGTCAATTATGAGACACTAAACTGCAACAAAGGTGCAAAATAGTTAAATGTAAAACAACCATATGACATATGATGCAAAACTACTATAATGAGATCAAAATGTTGAAAATAGATAAGACTGGAAACATAAAAAATCCCAGAGAAACCATTTCAAACATAAAATAGTTCAAATAAAATCCAGAATTTATAATAAATACATAAAGAACCATGAAATTTTTTTTCATAATTAATACTAACAAAGAAAGATAATAATATAAGATGTGAATGTGTTTTGGCGATTTAAAGAGTTATGTGTTATTTAAAGAGTTAAGTTATGTGTCTGTGCAGTGGTGCTGTGTAATAATCCCTACAAGATTAAAAAACATCTTTCTAATTTTGGCAGTAGCCTAATTATCACCTCGTGACTCACAGAGATGGCTGATTTAGAACTGTTCACTCTTAAAATATTCATGAAACAGAAACACAATATGCATATCATGCACATTCCTCACCATCTTTCTGCTTTGAGTCCGCCACCTTCGGTGTTTTCTGCTCTCTGATTGGTCGAGGCCGGTGAATGGAGAGAAGCTGGGGCTCGGTGGGTGAGAGCAGCTTTGCTGAGTCAGCTCGTTACATGCTACATACGACATACAGAAAGGAGAGCCATACAGCTGGGCAAAGGGAAGTTTGGACAGAAATCTACAGGGGTTAGAAAACAAAACTGAAACACCTGGTTTTAGACCATAACATCCCTTTCAGACAGCTTCCTCTTGCGTCCACAGTTAATCCTGTTGGATGTGGTTGGTCTTTCTTGGTGGTATGTTATTACCCTGGATAACGTGGCTTTTGATACATCACAAAGACTTGCTGTCTTGGTCACAGTTGCACCAGCAAGACGTGTGCAAACAATTTGTCCTCTTTTGAACTCTGGTTTGTCACCCATAATGTTGTTTGCATTGCAATATTTTGAGCAAAACTGTGCTCTTACCCTGCTAATTGAACCTTCACACTCTGCTCTTACTGGTGCAATGTGCAATTAATGAAGATTGGCCACCAGGCTGGTCCAATTTAGCATGAAACCTCCCACACTAAAATGACAGGTGTTTCAGTTTCATTGTCTAACCCCTGTAAGTTGATGTGAAGACTCAGCAGCAATCAATTAATCATCTTTTCTTCTTGATCAATTATTCCAGTGTATAGGTTCATTAATAAAAAAACAGTTTTGTTCTTTGCATTTGCTCAGAGACATTGTGCTGCAGCTGCAGCAATGCAGTCTGCAGCAGAATGTGCTGCATGCAGACCGCTGCAGCCCACTGCAGTCCACCTGCAGCATTAATCATCCAGATGGTTTCACTTTCATATGATTAGAGCTAAAAATATATAAATATTTAAACATCACAGATTCTTGACCAGCTCATACTGAAAAAAACACACTTTTTTTTTTTTACTTTTTCTTTCGTTTTATTTTCTCTTATGAAAAAAAAACAACAACAGGAGTTAATGTAGTATAGACCTGTGGTTTGATTTGGTCTTTACTGCCTGTTAGGATCTGTGTACAAATGATTAACTTCTAGAGTCAGCTCTCTTCAAGATGGCTGCCACAGATGAGGACTCAAATTTATGTCCTCAAACCAGAAAAGATTTTGCTGAAGAAATAATCCAATTCACGACTTCTGGTTTGTTTTTTTCAGTTAATGAAATATGCCATTTCATGGATCATACAAAAGTTTTTCAACCATTTTGAGATAAATATGTCCCATCAGCAGCAGATTAATGTGTACATACATAAAGATGACCCGGTACCCTCAGCTGGTCACCGATGAAGTTTATTACATCAGCAGGATCACCTAAGTGTAAACGAATGTTGAGCTGCAGTCTGGTCAGCTGCCTCCTTAAATGACGAGGGTTGATAAGAAGGTTATCTAAGACCAACAAACTGCAATTTCAACCTGTGTAATGATAGTCATCGGTGACCAGCTGAGGGGACCAGGCCGTCTCCATGGTTATTGAATGATACACAAGAGGAAAACCATAACTTATTATCTTGAGAAAACACTCATCATTAATTCATGATAACAACATAATTAATTTGTTTTCTCGAGAAAATGCTCATCGTTATTTTGTGATAATGACAATATGTTTTTAGCACAAGAAAACCAAGGAAAAAAATTATCAGTGGTAAACGTTTGCTCTCATCTTCTGTACATACTCTAATGTTAGTGTATTCTTTTGTTTTAGGCTATGCTTTTTACAAGTTTTACAGTCAGAAGTTTTGTTTTATATTTCCTGTTTTTCCAAGTATGTAAAATATTTCTATAAAGGTGAACCACATGAAATGAATTATTTTTGTGTTGAAAATGTTTTTGAAGAATCCTGTCAGTAAATGCAGCTTTCTTACCTTGCAGGTCATCAGAACTGCCTGATCTTCTTTTCCCTGGAATAAAGCTCAATCCATGCTGAGGTTTCTGGGAAGTGTAGTGAACAGACCATTTACTGTCCCCATCCCCTGTTGGACAGAGAGAAAAAAGAAATCTGAGGAGGGGGTTCATTCAGTGTGAGACTGCTTTCAGTGTTTAATCTTGTTTCAGCAAATTTGTTCACACTGAGGGGGCAATGATGAACGAAATTGCAGCTCTAAGCACTCCTGAAGGTGACCCCAGTAATGTACTTCAAGGCTAGTAATGTGAAGAAACCATCATTTGATTTGCTGGGGAATTCATAGGACATTCTTGGACAGATACAGCATTTAATTTAAATTTTTTTTGCACTTCAGATCAGAGATATCAGCATAAAATACAAACCTATTACAATCATAGGCATATTTGCAAATATTTAGTTTTGTCTTTAACCTACATTTTTTCAGATTGTTTTGGTTTTACATGCAACATAAATTAAACACTTGAAAGGAGGGACAGTTGGAAAATTTAAAGCATAAAGTTAAACCAATTTTAAAACTAAGAACAAACAACAAGGGGTTCTGAGATTCTTTTTTTAAGCCACTTCAGTAGAACACAGAACTGGATGTTAGTTTCTTAATTTCTGCATCATCAGTGACTTTTTTATACTATAGTAAAGAAGAAAAAGAAGAAGAGAAATATAAGTACTGTAAAGAGAGAAACTGATAGAAATTCGACAACAAGTGACATGTACACACAAGACAACACACCCAACATCTGACCATCAGAGAATGAAGAAAATAAACATCCAGCAACCAAACATAAACATCTGTATGTGCATATACCAAAACCCAAATATTTAAACTAGGGTTGGGCAATATTGGCAAAAAAATTAATCACAATTAATCGTGATATTTAGCAGATTGATTAATTTGACGATTTATGGCCTGGATTCCCTGGACACCCTTATGTCCTGGTCACATGACCAATTTAGTGGAAAAGATTTGCTCTTCGTAAAAATCTGTTCTAAATTGTGTCATAGTTACAGACTTCAGGCTATACATAAATTTTTAAATTGTGTTGATACATAAAGAAATTACAGAACTTTTTAAAATGTTCGTCACATTTGAAGCGGAAAGGTGCACCGAGTGGACTGACTGGAGAAATCTCCCCTGGTGGCATTTTATTTTATTTTTTTATTCATCCTTGATTTATACAGGAAGATCTCTTGATTTACAAGAGAGACCTGTTACATTCACCACAACAAAGTAACATAAAAACAATAATAATACAATTTACTTAACACTTCTAAAAATCAATACCATGCGTCATCAAAGAAAGGGTTTTCATTGACAACAAGTACAGGTGCTTATGGACAAATTTTCAAATCTGTTTATTAAAATCTTAAACTCCCCAAGTGTGACCAAAGTGGAGAGCTTCAGATCCTGTTGAAGCTTGTTCCAGGTGGAGGGGCCAGAAAAGGAGAACATGCCGAGAACATAAATATATAAATATATATATACACACACACATTCAGTGATGGTAAGACACCCCTGAATCCAAATGCCTATTTTTGTGTGGTTGTGAACATGCATATAAATACAAGATTTCTCCAGTGGAATATTTAATAATGACTGTGGAGGACCACAGACCCAACCCCCAAGACCCAAGGCAGACATAAGGGGGACCAGAGCCACAGACCCCAAGAGAGACCCCAGGCACTGAGCCCACAAGGTCACCCGAGCAGCAAGAACCCCCCCCCCCCCCACCCCCAGAGAAGAACACAGGAGAGAACCAGGAGAGCCCACCAGCAACCACATGCAGGACCCACAGGGCCAACAGCGACAACCTCACAGGCCTCGCTGGCCCCCGCTACGCCGGAGCAGATCCAGGCATTGACACAGAAACCCAGATCCCCAGGGCGCCCCGCCTCCTCCAAGCCAAGGCCTAACAGGGCCAGAGGACCCAAGCTCCACCAGGCAGTCACCAGGCGGAGCCAGTGCATGCCCAAGCACCCAGCCCCATACATTGAGAGCCACCAGCGCACTGACGGGCAAAGCTACACCCCACCAGAGGGCGTTGCTAGGGGGCAAAGCCCACCACTAGCAGTAGGCCCTCAGGTGAGCCAGATGAGAGAGCAGCCCGAGTCCCAGCCTGACAAACACCCAATCATACACAGACACAATCACACAGTTCCACCCTCATTCTCACACCCACTCATTCAAAGACAAACAAGATGAACGCCACACCCCACTCACACTCTCGATACATACTCTATACCCCCCAGGTCCAGGACACATACCCGCCCCCTACAGAAGGTCATATCCGAACCCAGGAGGTAAACCCATTCATTCTGGGGTGGAGAAGAAAATACAGCAAAGACCCAGCCCGGACTGCACCAGGCCAGCCGGCCGGCCCTCCGCTGCAGCGAAGCAACACCCCCCGACCACCCACACACACTGCCAACGGCCAAGCACACACCCCCAGCCGACCCCCAGCCAGGCCCCGGCAGCCACCCCAGCCAGCGGGCCATCCATGGCAACAGGGGCCACAATCCAAGAGTCCGAACAACCCTGGGGAAGACAGACCGCCAGCCCCTCCCGGCAACACCTCAGGCCCCCGAGTCCATCCATAGCCCAGACCCCTACCAGACGGTCCGCCCCTTCTCTGAACCCCACCCCCAAATGGCAATCGGAGAGCGGGGGAGGTGAGGAGAGAGAAAAAAGAAACAAAGACCCCGAAACACACACTCCCACCCCTAAATGTGTTGTTGATGCATGTTGCTCTATAAGAAGAGGGGCAGAGACCAGCATTGTGCCAGTTTTCCCTCCACTCCAACTCCAACCCAAAAACCCTGAATGTCTACCAGCAACCCTTGGGGGCGGGCACAGGTGCCAGCAGCGAGAGGGATCCCCTCTCGCCCCTTGCCTGCCATGGAGTGCCCACCTCAAATTCTTATACGTGAATGTCATGAGGAAATTGTAATTGAATGTCTAAAGTGCATAATAAAATTGGGGCTCAGGTGGTTACGGCAAACAGGGGTGTAAAACTGTTGTTCTTTGCAACGTACCAGCGCCTCAAAAACCCTACATATGAGTGGAGTTGAAAATAAGGGGGGTGGGTGTCCACAGACAAAAACAGAGCCCACGGGACCACTAGAGAAGGGGACCAACAATCCATCCACCCCAGAGTCATCCAGACTCCCAAGACCAGACCCCCAGTCCCACAGCCAGCCCACAACCAAAAGAGGCCACCGAACCCCACCAAGGAAGTTTCGGCCAAGAGTGCACACCCAGCCGCCGTCCCAGAGCCTTCTTCTGAGATTCTTAATGAGCTCATTGAAAATAAGACAACCTCTTTACAGTGGGGGTGTCTGGAGTGCATCTTGAGATGGTCTGCATAAATTGTGCTTTCAGTGGTATCTAAGTTATACTGGTATAGAAATCATTGAGAATGTGTCAATAATATTTTTGAACAGGTATCACAAAGGAGACTGATTTGATGCTTGAAGATGCCTGCAAGTTTGCAGTTGCTTTACTTGGACCGTAAAGAGGGTCCTAAAGTATCTGAAATTTAATGATGGGTTCTTTGATTTTGTGCTGGTTCCCTAAAAGCCAGCTTGTTTGGAACTACAGTAGATATTTTAAGAACTTCTTCTTTACCAAGTACACTGACTGAACAGCCATTTTTGGAGCAGAAAAGAGATGCAACTCAAGTCCCATCACTTAATAAATCCCATATAGAGAGGGAATGTGTAGCTTAGGTGAACAATTCTTGTAAAACAAAAAAAATAAAAATAAAAATAAAAAACAAAAACAAAAAGAGTAAGCTTTCAGGGGATTTTGAAGACGTATCAGAAGTTCATGCATAGACATTTTAAGAATCAGATTACCACACAAAAGTATCACAAAAATACCTCTTGAGCAACTTCAAGGAAAATCTATGGATTTTTAAGAATGTACAGTAGGACACCAAAGGAACAAGCCTCACGCCCCGGGACAAAGGGGCAAATAGCATTTTCCGTTTTCTATTTCTTTGACAGAACTTAAGTTAACAGAAGTTGAAAGAAATGCCTCTTTTGCCCCCGGTACCAGCAACGTGGGATTCAAGAGGTTCATTGCTGTGCACTTGAGCACATTTTATAGATTGTGGTTCTCTTTAGTTTAGCTTAAGACTAAACAAACAAAAAAGGTCACTGATGATGCCGAAATTAAGAAACTAACATTCAGTTCTGTTTTCTACTGAAGTAGCTAAAAAACAGACTAAACAAAACAAAGGCAGAGCAGGGCAACCACAATTATCACTGGTTGAAGAATGCACAATGACACAAAACAGCCTCACCAAACATCACACGACTTATTACTGATTTTCTCTTTTTTTTGACTTGACACTTTAGGCTCAAACATAAAATGGAGACTGAACACAAGTTGAATAGTTTAACTTTTTATTTATTTATTTTAAAGGCTGTCTAAGAAAATAATTACTCTATTGTCATAGCCAGGCAACCAGCAGTCCCTGTGGTTCTGCCAACCAAGGCCACTTGAAATCCACACTCTGCAGCCAGTAAAGCCAATTTAAAACAGCAAAAAAAATAAATAAATAAAAAATAAAAATAAAAACAGAAATGTTGCAATACTGGTGCTGATCAAAGAGGGACATCACCGTCTCTTGTAACAATTTTGTTAAAACTATGCTATTAGTAAATGCTATTAAATTCAGTTTGATTTCCAAATATTTTCCTGAAACATCCATGTTTCATGACTCTGATGGAGGTCTTGACTTCACCTTTGGGAACTACAACACAAATCCATCAAAAGAAATGGACTGTTCAAAACCTGGTCAAAGAGTAAGAAAATGGGGGAGTTCAACTCTCTTAGAGTGGGTTTGCAATTTCCAGCTTTTTAGAAACAATAAACCTTTTAGTCTTTAGACATCTTGGGAGTCCTCCCAACGTTTAGTGAATCTGAATCGATTAGGAGTCCTTAGGGACTCCCAAGATGGTTCTTTTTGTCATCAGTCAGTGCAAGACCGTCAAAACCTCTGTTTTCCAATGTCCTTGAGTCTTGAGGAGAGGGTTTTTTTTACAACAACTGAAGTTTGTCTATTAGAT